CTTTCGGTTTTTATTCAGATTTTTGAATGCCATTCCAGGATTTGTTCTCTGGATTATCATTCGAAGCATAGTGACTACGGTACCACACCTTATGGATGAGCTACTAGAGTTCATAAATCAATTCATGATCCACTCTCTTTCTGAGCAAAAATGTACAAAGGTAACTGGTTAGCATTCAGATGCTAATATAAATTACCCGAACAAATGAAGATGCAGAAGGCAGCCCCAATAATTGAGAAATGCATCGCAGCTGTCCTGGATGTTGTTCATACCTGAACAAGTGCAAAGAAGATTTTCAAGATCTGCTTCTGAATCAGCACTGACCAATGGGATGCATCTGGCAGAAGTTGTATAACTTGCTGTTGAATTCGAGGCAAAAATATCTGCATTGCTGCTATCAGAGGATCTCGTTCTTCTGCCTTCTTGAATCTGATAAAACAAGACACGTGGATTCAGCACCTCCAACAACACTCAAGAAGTTTGGCACAAGAAAGGGCAAAACCATCCTGTTAGACTGGCACTCCATTCACCACCTTCAACATTCATTCATTCCACTAATACATGATGGACTGCAGGAAACATCCTTCTTCAGCACCTTCCAAAACCGCTGCTTCTACCACCTAAGAAGACAAGGACAGCGGACGCACGAGAACATTACTGGCTCCCGCAAGTTCCCCACCAGGTCATGCATTGTCCTGACTTGGTATGATATTGCTTTTCTTTCATTGTAACTAGGTCAAAATCTTAGAACTCCTGTCAGCATTGTGGGCGTTCCTAAAACTCACCGACTGCAGCAGGTCAAGGTGCAGGTCACGAGCACTTTCTCAAGTATATTTAGCAATGGTCAATAAATAATGGTCCAACCAGCAATACTCACAATCCATGAACAAATACTTTAAAAAAATGCACCTAACAATCTTCAAATATCTCCCATCAACAGCAATCAAACTCTACTTCAACTTCGGATTTGTACTTACAATCAGATTTTGTGGTCTTAAAAATGATGTAACATAGTGCTAATATAGCTCTAAATTTGCAGAGAAATTTGTGATTTTCAAATTCCTATTTTTTAAAAAGGGTTGATAATCTGGTGTATTTTCAGCAGGGTCACAGGAAATTGAAGAGTGATCATGGTGAATCCAAAGAACTACCACACTTTTAAAGCTAATTCAAGTCTCAGACTCAGCTTCAGTTCCTAATAATTTATTTTTACAATTTCAATTAAAAAAGACAAAATAACCAAGAGGGAATTATAAAGCATTCAATGAGACCAAATTAACCACTGACAATCTACAAATTTGGTATTCCAAAGCTATGTAGTCTCCATTACCCAGAGTTCCGACAGGGCTGACACTTTTGAATTTACTTTACAGCCCGCTATCTCTGTTGGCACCCTATAGCATTGCTTCTGTCAATTGTTTTTCCTCCTATGTCTCCCTGTGAGCAATGTTATAGGAGGTCTAATGTAGTTGGAATTACTTCAATAGAAAATACAACAATCCCACCTCTGTAAGCCTCACTGTTACATAAAGTCAGGTTTACAAAAAGTGCCTAGTTGTACAGAATTTGAGTACGGCCCAAAATAAACAAACACACTTTGCTAAATGTTTTTGTACTCATCAAGACAATTGCAAGAAATACTCAAGTAAAGAGAAAATAACATCCATACCATATAAGAATGCTGACTGGTTGGTAAGTTGATTCCAATTTGTCGAGGCATTGCCATGAAGGTGACTCTAAATGTTATTTTTATTTCTCTTTACATTTGTATTTACTAAGTGCAAGATGAAATGTTCTTTTCCTTAAAAAGCAGCAAAATCAGTTTAGAAAAATACTATTTCATTGAAATGAAAACAGAAAACTCTGGAAATCCTCAGCAGTGTCTGCAAGGAGACAAACAGAATTCATGTTTCAGACTGGAACCTTTCATCAGAACATTTATCTGCAACATTAGCACAGAGTGTTGCATTGCCTGTACGGATGTAATGGAGAAAAAACAAGAAGTCTCTGCAGGAAGCAGGGCATGATGTTTAGTCAAAGTAATTGTGAGAGTCAAGAAATTGTAGTCAAATAGGAGTTAGTGGGCTCATTGTGGATATTGATTGATAGCATATACCCAGAAATAGACACAGGGAAGTCATGATAAGGAAAGTCTAAACTAGACCATCTAAAGACAGGAGAACGGTGAAATTGGAGGACAGCTCAATGGTATCTTCCAGGTCAGGATGGGAGAGCACCAATGGAAGCATCATTGTCATAGAGAAAGAGGCAATGAAGGAGGCTGGCAGGACTAGAACAAAGGATGTTGTATATATCCCATAAAAAAGGTCAGTATAGATAAGGTCCCTGCTGGAACCCATAGCTGCATCTTTTTATTTTGAGGAAATGAATGAAATTGAATCAGAAGTTGTTCAATCTGTGAGAACAAGTTCAGCCAGGTGGAGGACTGGTTGGGCTCCATTCATGAGCTCTTAGACTGTCCTGATAGGGTTTGGAGATGAGATTCATCAGGAAGTTCTACCATAGCAAAAGGTCACAGAATTAAAACATGAACTCTGTTTTTTCTCTCTCTACAAATGCTGTTCAACTGTAGGGCATTCCCAGTATTTTGTTCTTAGTTCAGAATTTTGGCATTTGCAGTTTGTACTTTTATACAAATACTTCATTGTATATTTTATGAACTACTGTATTTTGAAATTCAGTTCCAAATATTTGGTTTTAAAATCTATGGCATTTAAACTCTCTCTTGTATGGAAATATTTTTATCACAATTTAATCAAAGCTTTGTATCTTGCATATGTCAGGACAATTTGTAAGAATTACCACTGTAAATGGAAAACAACATTTGTAGTCATCTTCATGACAATGCCATGACAAATCAGAGTCCAACAGCCAACCAATCAACACATTCATACATTAATGTTATTTCTCCTTTACTCTGATATTTTGCTACAAATCAGTCTCCTATACTAAAGAAAGGACTCTTATCTGCAGTCCAGATTCTAATTGAACTCTTTCTACATGTACAGCTCTAATAAAGTCCCATTATTGACTTAAGAAACTTGTAATGGGTGCTCAATAAAGTCCATCTTCATCACATTTTATTTCAGTTCAGAAGTAATTAATCGACATACAAATAAAAGAAAATATGCTGTAGATACTTACTCATATGTCCTGACCAGCTGATATAAGCACATCAGACTGCCGAGCCAGCTTGCATTATTTGGAGACTGTAGGAAAAAGCCAATTTTGTCCACCACTGCTGTCCAACGCCCTGGGAAGTCGTACTTAATGATAGCACGAAGACACACAGCCAACTGAGACCTTCAAACGTTACATTAACAGGTAAATAGTCACATGTCCATGAAATACAAATTTCATGATTGTTCTGCTGCATATTTGGCACTGCCCAACAATAAAACAAGAAATAGAGCAACAAGACACATAATGGGAGACGGGAAATCACTATCACTGGAAAAAAAATTGAAATATATGGATTACAAGTAAGCCAACAGAGGTGAAAACATTGGCACAAGTAATTAACAATTGTTCCACAATGAATAACTTTTACAAAAGGGGCTTTGAGACATCTAAGATCCTTTGTGGGTCAAAGTGCTACTTTGAGTTAATTGTGAAAGTTTTACTCCACTGGCTTTAAATGTTAAACGATGCAATCCTAATTTTAGACTCCCTGATGAGCAGAAATAGTTCAGAGCAGTTAGTTTAACATGCATCTGCAAGCTATCAATGACCCATATTCACTGAACATCTCAATCAGATAACTGCAAAAGGATTACAAGCCAAATTTTGCTGCAGCACAGTGGAAGTGTCCTTACCTCTGGGCCAGGAGGCCAACATTCAAGTCACACTGCTCTACAGGAGTATCATAATACGTGTGAACAGGTTGCTTAAAAATATCTATGCAACTTGTCCTTGTGGTTTAAATCTTTATTACTTTAATGGATATGCTCTATGTCCTGTCCACAGCTAATGTATTTTTGTTGAAGTTGTTTCCAGATCTGAATGCAGTAATCAAGGTTCTGAAGAACTGCAATATCACTTCTCTTCCTTGTATTCTAACTTCCTTGAGACAAAGATTAACATTCCATTCACTTTTCTGGTTAGTTTTTGTACCCGTGAACTCACTTTAATGAGTTGTGTGTATAGGACACCCAAATCCCTTTGATTCCCGAGATGCCCTAGCCTGTGACTGGAGGTCAATGCAAGCAAATGCAAGGCCATCCACTTTGTACTTGAGAGAAAAAAAAAATCAAATATTTTCAACATCATGAGGGATTAGGAAAAAAAACAGTAAACTGAATTCTCTCCAAAAACCACCCATATAAGAGAAAAGTTTAAAGTAAAATATATGATCCACTGTGATGGGATATTGTGGCACGTTCTTTAAGACTAAAATGATTATAAGGGTTAGGAATAAGAGTAGGCCATATCTTTGTAGCTACATCTTTTAGGATTCCAAGATGCAAGCCATCAGGCTCAGGGGACTCATCCACCTTTAGTATTAGTTAGTCTAATACTACTTATTTAGAGACGGTGATGGTATTTAATTCGCCCCACCTCAGATGTTCTCCTCAACCATAAAGACTAATTGCTCTAACATTTCCTCTCCCCCAAAACCGTCTCCCCACATTCTTCTTCGAAGGGACCTATGTTCATTTTGATCTCTTTCCTCCTTTTTATATATTTAATCAAACTCTTATGGTCAGTTTGCATATATTTCACAATTTATTCTCTCTGTTTTTATATCTTTTTAGCTTGCCATTGATGGATTCAGAAACCCAGTTTTCAGGGCGATCACTGACTTTGGTCTCCTATATGCTTTTTCTTTCAATTTAATACTCTCCTTAATTTACTTGGTTAGCCATGATTGGTTTGTCCCTCTCTTAGAATCTTTCCTCCTTACTAGGATGCAATTTTGCTGAGTCACAAATTACCTCCTTAAATATCTGCCACTGCTTGCTTACGGTCATTCCTGCTAATGTATCCAGCCAGTTCACTTTAGCTAACCCTATCCTCATTTCACTGTAATTCCCTTTTAAGTTAAATGCAATTATTTCCGATCCAAGTCTCTCACTCTCAAACTAATATTAAAATCTATCATGTTATGATCACTATTTCCTAGAAAATTAAATTAATTTCCCTATTAAGCCTGCCTCATTATCTATTACCAAATCCAAGACAGCTTGCTACTTTGTTGGCTCCATAACATACTGTTCATTTAAGAAAGGTAGTAAGGAAAAGCCAGGGAACTGTAGACCCGTGAGCCTGACATTGGTAGTGGTCAAGTTGTTGGACGGGTTCCTGAGGGACAGGATTTCCATGCATTTGGAAAGGCAAGGACTGATTAGGAATAGTCAACATGACTTTGTGCGTGGGAAATCATGTCTCACTAACTTGATTGAGTTTTCTGAAGAAGAAACGAAGAGGATTGATGAGAAAAGAGCAGTGGACGTGACCTATGTGGACTTCAGTAAGGCTTTTGACAAGGTTCGACAAGGCGTGGACTGGTTAGATCACATGGAATAGAAGGAGAAGTAGCCATTTGGATACAGAACTGGTTCAAAGCTGGAAGACAGAGGGGGGGTAGTGGAGGGTTGCTTTTCAGACTGGAGGCCTGTGACTAGCAGTGTGCCACAAGGACCGGTGCTGGGTCCACTGCTTTTTGTCATTTATATAAATGATTTGGATGCAAGCATAGCAGGTACGGTTAGTAAGTTTGCAGATGGCACCAAAATTGGACATGTAGTGGACAGTGAGGCGTACAACGGGATCTTGATCAGATGGGCCAAAGGGCCGACAAGTGGCAGATGGAGTTTAATTTAGATAAATGTGAGATCTGCATTTTGGAAAGGCAAACCAGGGCAAGCCTATACACTTAATGGTAAGGTCCTGGGGACTGTTGCTGAACAAAGAGACCTTGGAGTGCAGCTTCACAGTTCCTTGAAAGTGTAGTCCCAGATAGAAAGGATAGCGAAGAAGGTGTTTGGTATGCTTGCCTTTATTGGTCAGTGCCTCAAGTGTAGGAGTTGGGAGATCAAGTTGCAGGATATTGGTTAGGCCACTATTGGAATACTGCGTGCAATTCTGGTCTCCTTGCTACAGAAAGGATGTTGTGAAACTTGAAAGGGTTCATAAAAGATTTACAAGGGTGTTGCCAGGGTTGGAGGATTTGAGCAATAGGGAGAGGCTGAACAGACTGGGGCTATTTTCCCTGGAGCATCGGAGGCCAAGGGGTGACCTTATGGAGGTTAATGAAATCATGAGGGGCCTGGATAGGGTAAATAGCCAAGGTCCTTTCCCAGGGGTGGGGGAGTCCAAAACTAGAGGGCATAGGTTTAAGGTGAGAGGGGAAAGATTTAAAAAGGATCTAAGGGGAAACTTTTTCATGCAAAGGATGGTGCATGTATGGAACGTGCTGCCAGAGGAAGTGGTGGAGGAGGCTGGTACAATTTAACATTTAAAAGGCATCCGGATGGGTATATTAATAGGAAGGAGTTACAGGGATATGAGCCAAATGCTGGCAAATGGGATTAGACGTATTTAGGGTATCTGGTCAAGATGGATGAGTTGAACCGAAGGGTCTGTTTCTGTGCTGTGTAGCTCTACGACTCTATGAAGCTACCCTTAATGCACCCTATGAATTTGTTGTTATAGCTACCCTTTCTAATCTGATTAATCTAATCAACATACAGATTAAATTATTGTTGTTTTGTATTTTTCTAAAATAATCATACTGTATTATTACACTCAATAAAATTGTAGAGATTTAATCCAGGATGTCATCTTTTGTGAAACAAGAATCAGAATGAACATTTCAGATTCAAGACCTTTCCTCAAAATTCTTTAGGTTGTCTGTTCGAAACATGAACCCTGTTCTCTCTCAACAAATCCTGCCTAAACGGCGGAGTATTTCTAGCACTCCTTTATTAGCTAGATTTGAGGAATACGTTGTTGTTCTTTTTGTGTACCTTGCAGAAAAATAAAGCATCACAATGCTAAGTACCTGGTCTCATCTCACCAAATATTTTCTTCTGTCTCTTGGGAGACAGATTAAGCAATGTCCAAGAAACTAGTACATGGACGCAGGCATTAGGGGACATATCATAACTTTAGATCATAGTAAAGTACAAGCAGATATGGGACAATGTCAGTCAATTTCCACAGAAGGAGATATTTTTCTTTGTTTTATTCATAGAGATGAGGACGTCACTGGTTAGGCAGTGTTTATTGCCCGTCCTGAATTGCCCAGAGGGCAGTTAAGAGTCTAAGAGTCAACCACATTGCTGTGGGTCTGGAGTCACATGTAGGCCAGACCAGGTAAGGATGGCAGTTTCCTTCCCTAAAGGACATTAGTGAACCAGATGGGTTTTTCCTGACAATCAACAATGGATTCACGGTCATCATTAGAGTCTTAATTCCAGATATTTATTGAATTCAAATTCCACTATCTGCCATGGCAGGATTCAAACCTGGGTCTCCAGAACATTACCTGGGTCTCTGGATTAACAGTCCAGTGATAATAAACTGGGCCATCGCCTCCCCTGTCCCCTAAGATGCGCTGACTTGGGAACTGAATTGATCGAATCTACTGCATCAGAGAAGGTAAATACAACTTGCTACATCTTTAGTTTGCTGTTGTTAATTTTTCAAAATGTAAGATGTATTTTAAAAGTTTTTATGGATCTAATAATCCAGCACTTCTGATATACCAGTACAATATGATCTTGACCTTACCATACAAATACAATGTGCAGTTAGATGATAACAAATCAGCAACATAAATCAGAAAGACTACAGCCAGGCTGGACAAGTTATTTGCTCACATTCCAAGAAGCATTAAGAAATAGTAAGAACGGCCGATGCTGGAGTCAGAGATAACACAGTGTACAGCTGGAGGAACACAGCAGGCAGGCAGCATCACAGGAGCAGGAAAGTTGACATTTCGGGTCGGGACCCTTCTTCCCCCATTTCTGAAGAAGGGTCCCAACCCAAAACGTTAACTTTCCTGCTCCTCTGATGCTGCCTGGCCTGCTGTGCTCCTCCATGCTCCACGTTGTGTTATCCAAGAAGCATTAATCCTCTTTTTCTGAAAAGATTTACAAAGAAACCCATCAAAGGAACTGGACAATAAGGTTTTAAACCCTTATGGATTGTTTTTAAAAATCCAACTTCATTATGACTGATTTCAGTAGCTTATTATAACTTCTTGCTTTTTTAAATGTTAAATGATTTTAAAACTGTGACACTTTTGTTCTGATACATAAAGATTGTTGTTAGAGGGTTTTTGGAGAGGACTGTGAGGCTGTTGAATACTTAGCCCAAGTCCTTCCCATTCCCTATCCCAAATATTTGCATTTAATACACTATAGGAAGGATGTGATGGCACTGGACGGAGTGCAAAGAAGATTCATTAGGACGTTGCTTGGAATGGAGCAGTTCAGCTATGAAGAGAGGTTGGGTAGGATCATGTTATCTTCTTTGGAGCAGAGAAGGTCGAAGGGGAACCTGATCAAAGTGTATAAGACTACGGGACATGGACAGAGTGAATAGAAAGCAGCTGTTCCCCTTAGTTGAAAGGTCACTTACAAGGGACACAATTTTAAACTGTAAGGCAGAAGATTTAGAGAAGATTTGAGGAGAAGCTGTTTCACCCAGAGTGTTATGTGGGTCTGGAATGCACTGCCTGGGAGATTAGTTCAGGCAGGAAACCTCATAACCGCGCAAAGTGTCATAACGCTCAAGGCAATGGGCCTGGTGCAGGAAAGTAGGACTAGCATATGTAGTATATTTTGGCAGTACAGGCTTGACAGGCTGAAGGGTCTCTTCTATAACGTCTTATTCTATGATTATATATTTTCATTCAAGAACCCCAAACACTATCTACTCTCTTCCTTCACTTCATAATTTTAATCTTTCAAATTGTTCCATCATGTTTTGCTCTAACCAAAACAGTCTCAGTATGTCCAATTTGTTCTTCAAATTTCTTCAGAGTAGATATCATGGTGATTCTGTTCTGCAGACTTCCCAGAGGTGGGTTAAAAAACTGATTTTGTACAGCAACTGCAGACCTGAGGTGAATTTTCATTGAGTATACAAAATAATCAAGAAACTGGTTTGGAAACTGGATGACCTACAGGATAGAATAAGGACAAATAATAGGCAGCTACTTGAATTGGCAGAATGTTTCTAGTGGTGTCCCAAAATGATCTGTGTTGGGGCCCCAGCTATTCGTTAAGCCATATATCTAAGCCCGCTGATGATGCAAAGACAGGTAGCATTGTAAGTGGTGTTAAGAAATTAAGCAAATGAGAAATACTTGAGATTTCAATGAAGGCAAACAGTGGGGTCTTTTACTTGACTTGTGGATTTCTTTATTGGAGAGGACTGTCAAGGCCAAGTCATCACATATATTCAAGGCGGAGATAGGTAGATGTTTAATCGGCAAGTGAATCAAGGGTTACGGGGAAAAGGCAGGAAAGTGGAGTTGAGGATTGTCATATCAGCCATGATCTCATCGAATGGCAGAGCAGATCTCTATGGGCTGAATGGCCTACTTCTGCACTGACATCTCATGATCTTATGGAATTTCAGTAATTGCTATCTCTGACTGGACGTTACCTGATTAAGTCAGGAGACTGAATAATCCCCTCCACAATGTTGTCCCGGATTTGCTGACGATCATTTTCATGTATGTTGAAAGGCAGCATGGCTTCCCCAGGAGGTGCTTCACGATCAGGCCAGTACTGAGTCACCATGTTCTTCATGTAGATAGCCGCTAATATTAATTAGATAGAAATTTAAACATTTAAATTTGAAGACTGGGTGTAGTTCAACAACTTTTTTCAGTGATTATATTTCAAATAAATGAAGAAAAATAAACAATTAATTCTGGGGTTTTTATACTACTCTGTGACATTTCATTGCTGTCAAACAGTATTAAATCTTGCCTACTACTGATTAATTAATAACTTAAAAGCTTAGTTTCGATCAGTATTTTACAGATTTTAAAAAGTTTTTTTTTAAATCTCTGCTCTCTCCTGAAGACTGACTTGCATACAGGGGCATGTTGTTTCAACCTCAGGAGCAAACCTTCAGTATCTCGTGTGTGGTGTGATTCTAAACAGATTATCAAAATATCAGATTCAATTCACGAGCTCCTCAAGTTAGCTGATCATAGATGGGTCACATAAGTAGCCTCAGTGTCTCTGACTAGATGGCAAGGATGGGGAAAAGCTCATTATCATTTTCATACAGTGTTTTTTTTAATCCCCACAAGTAATGACTGGGTCAGAGACTAACGACATTGAAAAAAGAATATAAAAAGGACATGAGACAAGAATATTACAGAAGATTACTTCAGTTCAACAGGTATCACTATGTAGGCATGATGGTCACCAAACATTAGATTTCTGTGATTTCCTGGATTCTCTTTCCATGCAGAGGGTTTATTATCTCAGCTATAGTTAGTGCTGGGAGGTACACAGACTAGGCTGTGCCACATAGTAAATAGATATCTTGGGTGCGTGCGTTCTTAAACTCACACAAAAAAAAACATGTCCTATATTGTAGAGATTACAGTCCACGCTCAAGGTTTGGGAAAACAGGAGACTCCCAACAAGGTAGGACACAGGAAGAAAGTAACTCATCAAACAAGCAAACTATGGTTTCTGTTCAGACTAGAAATTAAACGTTTGTCAACAAAGAGGGGCAGATTGAATTTCAATCATTGTCAAACACACCAGTTCTGTGAGGCAAGCACAGCTGTTTTGCCTTCAGGAACTGAATTTAAATCAAAAATCAAATGAGGGGATCGGCTAACTATTACGGTTCATCATATAGGTCCTACTAAATTTAGGATTGGTGAATGAAAGTTATGACAATTAAATGCTCAAGTCCACTGAACATAACTGGTCATAAAATGAAAACGATAATATCAAATATAAAGAAACTAATGGCATGAGAAATTGAGCATGTATCAAATGACCTTCTGAAGTAAAGTTCTTGAGTCTAGGAAGTCCATAGAGAGTTTCATTCTAAGTATTGCTATGCTACATCTCACCCCAAGAGGGCTTGTTAATACTGGGTACCAAACTAAATCAAATTATACTGGATATCCATTAGTTGGATGACAGGAAAACATTTGGAAGAGGACAGCCTAAACTCACCAGCTTGTCTGACTGGAAATTCGACCTGATCAGACACAATGATCTGAAGCAATGTTGGAGCAAAGTTTATGATCTTGTAAGACTGCAAAAAACAAAAATATAGACTCAAGAAGAGGAAGTGCAAAACTAAATTTAAAACACACACACAGCATTTGCAAGTCAAACTCGACAATTCAGCACAGTTCATTCCTATCCTGTTCTAAGAGGTCAAGCGAAGGAATCTCATCATAGAGAAATCACATGACAGATCCTTCTACTGTTTGCTGACTTCCAAAGTATGAAACCTCTGACTGGAATGCTTGCAATTTTAGCTGCTCCAAGTACAATGAATATTGCAAAGACCAAATCCTTTTCTTTTCTGAATTTATGATTGTGGACTGAAGTAGGAAAAGGACTGTTTTTAAAAATCATGAGTTGTGAAAAGGATTGCTGTACTTTTTTAAAAGCAAGCTACTAGCATTTAATGCAAGTGCTGTTTACATGATTGTGTGTTCAACTAGTGGATGAAGTTTAGTTGCAAATGAACTGGGACTAGGGAGTGTGGACAGAATGAGTTTCAGCCAGCAACAGGTAGCCGATTGGTCTGTGGAGCAATGGCTGGTTTTTGATGACAAAGGCCTTCTGTCTGCCAAAATCTATGTGATTAGCTCCCAGATGGCTGTACAGTTTGCGAGTGTCAACAAGATAGCTGTAAGTCTTTGCACCTCTGAAAAGGAAAGTACTGACTTGTCAATATAATAAGAAAACCCCTGAAGCCTGAAAAAGTCGGTTTCATTTTCTCACACCACTTTCTTTAAACTGTTGCCATCAACCAATAAGTCAGAGATTTTACAGGGTTGTGAACCAGTTGTTCTGTGTTTTCCCCAGGCAAGTGAAAGTACCTGGAGAACAAATAGATCAACAAAATATGTCCCGGCAAACTAAAAGGATAACTTCAGTGAACCCAGTGGGCAGAGACCAATTAACTATCTTCCCACCTTTCCCCTCCATCCATAGCACAATGTTTTTTTGTGTCTGTATATGCCTGCAGGGTGAGTTTTAAGGGGATTAGAGTTCTAACTCGTAGAGTTATATGTCAACGGTTCATAATCGTATATCTGCAGCTCGAATCTATTTACTTATAATAAATATCAATTCTGGTTAAGTACAGAAACCTCGTCCATACTTTCTGTCAACCTGGATCTAAATTGGGAATTTTACATCCTGTTATAAAATCTTTAACTTTTAACGACAACTTTGGGAATTGTGGGGCTCGATTTCCAGCGCGCTACTTGAATAAGGTAATACTGAAGAAACTATTCAACAATCAAGAAAGAAATAGTTTTCTATCCTCAGATTAGTTGCAGGTATTCGCAGATGTGACTGCAGCTTTCTGCCCACAACCTAAACTTCACATCAGCTTTGAGATATCCTGCAGTTGCAAACATTACTATACAAATGCAAATCCTTGCATCAACTTTGCTATTGATCACAATGCCAGCAGGTTAACTCTGGTCTCTACTTTTGTTCCATTTAATATCAGAACCACAGTCTCAGCTTCCCTTGTCACTCAGTTTCAAACACCATTTACAATTACTGCACCACTGTTGAAACTTAGTTTTGCAGGTTGCAAAGTAATTGTTGATTGAATTTATCCTATTTCAAACCTACATACTTGGGATTCTATGGAGGGTAAGGAAAGTAAGAAGGGGGCCTTAAAAAGGAATATAATGGAATGGCTTAAAAAGAGAAAGTCCATACAAAGATAGGAGAGAAACAGCAACCTAGGAGTGAAAAAGAGGTTAATGGAGCAACCAACAAAAGCAACTGTTCTCACAAATTAGGGATATCAAAACATTATGAGAATTTACTTGCTGTACCAAAGTTTTCTGCCTTTGTGGTTATTATATCTTGGTAGAAGAATTGAAAGTGAATGCTTGTGTGTCTCTGCTACAGCCAGATTGCCAATTATTTTTATGCCTCAATGACACTATGATATATTGCTTGTCTCAGCTGATAACATTTTTGCCTCTAAGTAAGAGGTTACATGCTCATGTCCCATGACTTGAGTAAATTAACCCATTGTTCTGTTTCAGTAAGAATGGGGTGCTACAGTGTTGGTGTTATGTCTTTCAGCTGAAACTTGTCTGTATCTCCCTACTCTAAATGGTTCAAATTAGTGTAATACAAAAACACAGCAAAAGACACGCTTTGTTCTAGCCAAAATTTGCAGGTCTTACAGTGAAAGGAGTCTTCTTCGACCAAGATTTGCAGACTGGCACCCTCCAATGTCCATGATTAAAATTTGAGGCAGACGATGTAAAGGTTCAAAAAAGGTAAGGCACAGTCTAAGGCCCTCTCACAATGGTAATGTGAGGGACCGGACCAGTGTAGAATCTCTCATCTATGTTGTAGAGAATGTTTTGACATGAAGAAACAGATACATTCTACATAACATTTAATTGTCGTGAAGAACTTCAGTGGGCCACACACTTAACTGAAGTGAGGTGCATTACTTTTGAAATATTAAATTTAAAAACTGTCATGTAATGTACCTGTACAATTTTATAAGGTATAGTTTTTTTCAGAAAAAAGTAATAATATTTCAAAAAAGGGCAGAAGTTAATCCAATATTCCACAAGTAACCACCATTACTGAAATAAAAACCAAATGAACTGCGGATGCTGTAAATCAGGAACAAAAACAGAAGAAGTTGCAGGAAAAGCTCTGTAGGTCTGGCAGCATCTGTGAAGAAAAAATCAGAGTTAATGTTTTGGGTCTGGTGACCCTTCCACAGAACTTCGTCAGTTCTGAGGAAGGGTCACCAGACCCTAAACATTAACTCTGATTTTTTTCTTCACACATGCTGCCAGACCTGCTGAGCTTTTCCAGAAACTACCATTATTAAAATATTCAACTTATGCCATTTTGTTACACCTGGGAAAATTCAACATTTGCAAAGCAACCAGCACTGAACATAAGTCACTCTGCGATACAATGACATGATACAGTACTGTTTAAATGCAACTCGATTTCTTTTACTGAAGTTGCATCTTACAAGATGATAGAAAAATATTTTGGATGAATAATTTGAAACTTGAACCTCACAGAGTGTTTGATGAGCTCCTGATTGATAAAAGTGCTAACCTAAAATTCATTATGGATAATTTCATAGCCTTGCACATTCCATACTGCCACCTCTCACTCTACCCCATCAACGTTCACTGATGCATCATCTTGTGCAACCAACACCCTTGAACACATCCTCAGAAATACAGATAATGTACAGGATCCACATTTTGTAACTTTTTTTCCCTTGAGGTTTCTGCATACATACTTTCACCGTACCCATTCTCCCTTAAAATCCACTTTAGGCCATGACCTTGGTCACCATTTTTTTGCAATCTTTTGCTGGCTCATTGTCACTTTACTACAGCTCCATAAAGCATTTTCTCCACAGAGGACTAGAGTTTAAATGATAGGTATTAGTCGATTCCAATAATACACTCCAGGGAAGTGTTTCCACTTTCAGCACAATGGGAAAATTGCACCCAAACTTGACTTGAAATTGTACAAGTTGGGTTACAGTTCAATTGTCCACTAATATTTGTTTGGACAGATAAAAATTTCTAAAACATGTCAACATTTACCTGTGCACCTAAGAAAATAAGCTTAATGTGACAGGCTGTCTCAAATGGCCATAGTCAGCATATATGCATGGTTCTCATTGACGCAATGTTGGAGTGGGTGCTTACACAGTTGATGTGTTAAAATCATGAAAACTCAATTTATATTTCACAGAGATTATATTTTATTTTCTGCATTCTTTTGCAATAGTACAGGCAGTTTCATCCAATCATGTTAATAAAACCACTGTACAATTTTCTAGAGTAGACTTAGCAAGGAAAAGCAAAGCATGAGGAGTTTGAAGGGAATCATTCTTTCCAGCTGCACGTTCTGCTTCAATAATGAAGGCAGCCTACATTTGCAAAAGATAATTTAATGAAATTTAGCAAATTTCTGCACTCAGCTGATTCATCCTGAGTTGATGGAAAGGAAACAGAGAAGAATAAATAGCTATAGGTATGACGAACTAAAATATATTCAAGTCTGTTGAGACTTTCTTTCAGCTTCTGACAGTAAGTTGAAAATTGAGATTCAGCGAACCTTGTGAACAAGTTGCCTGTCATTCCAGCAAAATAGGCAGCACTCAATATGGTAGTGAGAAGATACAAAAATCTTTTGAGAAAAGATGATGTTGATGGGGGAGCTTATGAAAATATGTCATGAGAAAGCAAATAAAACGGTTGCAGTATTGGGAGAGTGAGCTGAATGAACTGTAAGTCATACAATTTTGTCAAAAACAGAGATACAAAATGCTTTTGCCCAATGTATTGAGTTGAAAATGAAACTCAAATTATGTTCTGGAAGGAACTATTTAATCTTTATACTAGGGAACATTAGTTCAAATAGTGCACAAGGTCTGACTAAGTGTTATTCAAAATATTAAAACAGGAGTTATCTAGCCACTTGCTCTTTGCATCACATTCATGGCCTTTACTTTATACTTCGAAAGATAAGGGTAGCAGATGCATGAGATCACTGCCACCAGCAGGTTTCCCTCCAAGCCTCACATCACCCTGACTTGCCATTCTTTCACTATCACTGGAGCTAAATTTTGGAACTCCCTGCCGAACAGCTCTACAGGTAGGTATTTCTGAAACAACCTGTTCAGAGACGTTATTACACACCTCTGGAGCACGTGGGACTTGAACCCAGGTCTCCTGGCCCAGAGGTTGGGACATTAGTAGAATGCAGCACTTCAAGATGATTACTGACCACTGCGTTCTCAAAAGAAGTTAGGGATGTGTAACAAATGCTGACAAAGCTAGCAATATTCATCTCCAGTGAATGCATTTTTAAAACGCAAACAAATTGCAGCAGTAAATGAGTCAACTCTTTGAAACATTGACATGATCTATCTGGTGAAGAAGGTTATCTAAGATTACAAAAGCATCTTGATCAATTGGGCCAATGGGTTGAGAAATGGCAGATAGAGTTTAATTTGGATAAATGCTAGACATTGCATTTTGGTAAAACGAACAAGGACAGGTCTAATTCAGTTAATGGTAGGGCTGTGGTAGTTGTTGGACAGAAAGACCTAGGGGGTTCAGGTACATAGTTCTTTAGAAGTTGCATTACAAGTAGCCAAGGTAGTTAAGAAGGCATTTAGCACTCTTGGTTTCATTGCATAGATCACCGAGTATAGGAGTTGGGATGTCATATGGAGGTTGTACAGGACATTAGTGAGGCCATTTTTGGAGTACTGTGCACAGTTCTGGCTGCCCTGCTATGGGCAGGATATTAAATTGGAGAAGGTTCAGAAAAGATGTACCAGGATGTTGCCAGGGGAGGGTTTGAGTTATAAACAGAGTCGGTATAGGCCAGGCGCTTTTTTCAACAGAGCATAGGAGGTTGAGGGGTGACCATACAGAGGTTTGTAAAATCATAAGGGGCATAAAAGTAAATGACAAAGGTCTTTTTGCCTTTGGGGGGGTGGGGGGGGGGAGAAAGAGGTCAAAACTAGGGGGAATATTTTTAGGATGAGAGGAGAAAGTTTTAAAAGAGACCTGAGGGGCAAGGTTTTCACACACAAGGTGGGTCATACGTGGAATGAACTACCAGAGGAACTGGTGGATGCAGGTACTGTTACAACATCTGAAAGACATTTGGACAACTACCTGAATATGAAGGGCTGAGAGGGATATGGGCCAAATGCAGGTAGGTGGGACTAGTTTAGTTTGGGAAACTTAGTTGTCATGGACAATTTGGACCTACGGGCCTGTTTCCATGCGCTTCACCTGATGACTTTATATACGCATTCTTTTGAGTGAACTATTTGACTATGCAAATTGGGCTTCAAAGTATATTTAAAAAGTGAAGGATTTTGCAAAGAAGAAGATATTGGATCATTTTGATCACAGTTCGATTCACAGCAATATGCATTTTTAATTACAACCAACACAGTTCTGCAGAAGGGTCACTGGACCTGAGAAGTTAACTCTGATTTCTCTTCACAATGCTTACAGACCTGCTGAGTTTCTTCAGCGATTTTTATTTGTTTCTGATTTATAGCGTCTGCAGTTCTTTCAGTTGTTAATATGAATTTTTAATTATTCACTTTTACCAAACAGTTATACAAAATTAATGCTTAATCCAGTGATAATTCCCTTAGACTGTATTGTAACACATAGTGTATTGGCTTATTTAGGAGATGGGATGTGTTACAGTCTAAGCTGAACCACAGTTATTTCAAAACTGCTAAAAAATACACTTGTTTACCAAGTGTCTCAAATTAAAGCTGAATTCAAAGTTGATATACTGTACATCCCAACAGTTCTGAGGGCACCTCTCCAGAGCCATGTAGACTGGGAGATCCCAGATTTAATTCTGAATCTTGGTGAATAATCTAGTTCAACAAAGAATGCTGAGGGAGTATTACACGTGCACCACTCATTGGTTAGGGATAGGAGAAGTACTTTTTACATTTACTTGTTCATGGGAACAGGTATACAAGTGAAGTGTTAGGCCAGCACTTTTTGCCCCTCAAATACTCTCAACATAGTGGTGAGCCACATTCTTGAACTGCTGTGTAGGTATAGCCGCAGTACTAGTAGGAAGGGACATTTTGACTCTGCCGTGAAGAAATGGCAATATAATTCGAAATCAGAATGGTGTGTGGCTTGGAGGGGAATTTGGGGTGGTGTTCCCATACATCAACTCTGCTTGTCCTTCTTAGAGGTAGACATGCTGGGTTTGGAAGTTGCAAGAATCAGTCTTGATAAGTTGAACTGTATCTTATAGATGGTGTATACTGCTGCTACTGTGCCACTGAAGGAAGTGAATGTTGAAGGTGATGGATGGATGCCAATCAAGCGGGATGCTTTGTCCTGGAAGATATCAAGTTTCTTAAATGTTGTTGGAACTGCACTCATCTCGGCAAGTAGACAGCATTCCATCATTCCTCAGTTGTGCCTTGTAGTTGGTGGACAGTCTTTGGGGAATTAGAAGCTGTATTCCCTGTAATTTTCTTACCAGCTGCACAGAATGCAGAGACCCAATCACGGCAGCGACTTCCAGAACCAGAATTCAATAATTGTATCAACATACTGATGCCGACCACTGTGTGCAGAACATTGGAGTGGTTGTGCATGACTGCATAGAGGGAACGTTGGTGTGGAGGTCATCTGTTTTCTGCAGAATTGCGAGCCTCTAAACTACTCTTGTAACTAGCAGTGCTTTCTATGATATTGTCGATACTATTAGAATATCCACACTTTAAGCACAATGTCCATTGGTACCGTGCTCTGCATTATACCTTATAAACCTATTTCCAAAATGCTGTCAGCTGTGAATCCATTCAGAGGCAGAATAATATCTGACACTACAAATAGTGTTCCTAGGTTGAAAAGTGCATTTCTCCCAATCCCACTCTCCAATGTCCAGTTTTTTTTTTATTTCTTGACTGCCAGAGGAAATTGAAAGGGACAATCAATATAAAACAAGAAATGGTGAGAAATGACTACCACCTCTCTAAAAGTTACCCAATCGTTGATCCTTGAAGATTTACACTTGTCCCAACCAGCCTCATTTCCTTCCAGCTGCTATGCATCTCTGATGACAATCACTCATGCTGAAGTACAGTTCCATTGGCATCAACCATCTTTTGGCAACGGTCCAAATGGCCATCCTTCAAATATAAATCTGGGTGTTGGGCACTGGCAAGTTATGCAACTTTGATGGTAGCAGAGCAAATGCTGATTCTATCTTCCACAGTATACATTTCAAAAGGAATCATTAGGGATGAGAACCTTTTCCTTGCCCATGGTGCTATGTTCTCCCATTAATTAAACATTTTACATCAGGCCATCGGTACAGACTTAATCTAAACAAGTAACTTTAAGTGCAAATGCTGTCAAGGTTTTCATGGCTACTGAAGCATTTCTATGAAAGTTGAAAGTAACAAAGAAACTTCAGCATAAATGTTTTCAATGTAAACTCATCAGAACCAGAAGTTTAAAGTGGGCTCTACTTCCATGGAAAGAGAAATAGGTTTTCATGTCCATTCTACATATAAGCATTAGCAAGGTCACTGAGAATAACATTAGACAGCAGCCTGCTCCATCTGAATGCCAATTAGGAAATGTCTGTAGTGCTTAAGTCACCAGCTAGCACTCATTTGAATACCTATGACAAATTCTCTGCAACTCGCCACATGCTATGAGCTGAAGCGGATGAATAAACAACCCCCATGACTGCAGTGCTTGATATGGCAAAGTAACTAAACAGCAT